GGCAGTTCCACCCAGTCAGTTCCGGTCAGGTGCAGAGGTGCAGAGACAAAGGATGACCTTGGCTTTCTAGAAAGAATGTTGTTATGGCTACGTATCAACTAACTCCTTACAATCCCCCCTCCCATTTTCCCACAATAGAAAAGGTATAATGGAATAATAGAAAGTGTGGCAGGCCAAAGATCCAAAAGAAAAGATGGCTGCAGGCCCTGACACCCGGAGCGATCCCTTACCTCTTGAGGAGTGGGTTCAGCGGCTCGAAATCCATCTTTCACCAGCTGAACCTCAGGTAGTTCCGGAGCTTCTGGAAAGGAAGAGGACCAAGAGGGAGGTCAGGCTGTGCGGCTGAAGGAAGATGCTTTCTATTGCTTGGACCTTCCTTGCGAATGCCCACCTCCCACCCCCGCAAACTTGCGGTATGGATCAGGTGGGGCTGGAACCACTCACTTGAGACCTGCAGCTTGGTCTGGTTCTCGCTGACACCGAGGCTGCCGAGCCCCACTTGGCAGATGTAGGTCTTGGCATCCTGCACAGTGACCTTCCTGATGACGAGGGAGAAATCCTTGGCGATGTTCAACCGGTCTCTATATTGGTCTTCTGCCCAGTCTTCTTTGTCTTGGATCAAGGAGATGATTTTTTTCCGTGCCATTTTTTCCCCCTGAAAAGTCCGAGAAAGAGGGGGAGCAAGAGAAAGGGGAGAGGGTTCAGGACAAAGAGGACTCGCGGAGGGTCCATAGAGAATGGGCAAAATTCCATCAAGACACCAGTCCCCATGGTGTTCTGACCTAGGCTTCACCAAATCAAGAAGCAGATTCCTTGTCCCGACAAAACACCCTTTTTATTAAGCTCATGTGAATTCCTCTCATTCACACTCAGCAAAGCCCTGGCAAACAGTCTTTCAAAGGTGAATTTGCAACCACAGACCTTATCAGGCTTGGAAATCTGACAGGCCAATATCTACCAAGCACAACACTGTACAAGAAAATACTTGGCAAAGGAGTCTCTGAGAATCACGAACAAATCTTAACACTAATTAAACGAAGTAATTAGCAATAGCAATAGCAATAGCAGTTAGACTTATATACCGCTTCATAGGGCTTTCAGCCCTCTCTAAGTGGTTTACAGAGTCAGCATATCTCCCCCAACAACAATCCGGG